TTCATGGACCAGTAATTCATAAAAATCATAAACTCTATCTTCTAAGAGCAAGAGAGGACACAACGACATCAGTTTCCAGGAAAACAATACATATACTGAACTTGAAGCCTTCAATTCAAGTTAAAAAAAAAAAAAAGTGAGTTTACATAACAGATTGCAAAAATATATAAGTCTTTACCTAGTCATAATCACTCCAGAATCAAATTCATCAAATTCAGTATTAACTGCACAAAAGAAAAAAAATACTTTGTGATGAATATTTTCTCAGCTTTCAAAGTGTTCCCCAGTGACGTGTTTTATATGCTGTGTAAATTGTGTGACTAATAGTTTTGTCCTATTTGAGATGATTTAACAGCATTGACCTTAATCTCCTTCCTAGCTGTTCACTTTCATACTTATTAAGCACAATTTGAATATCCAAACCTCATATTCAATAGCTTTAGTTAGAAAATGGGCACACTAAGTTTAAAGTTGAATGTAACGAGCTATCCTAACATTTTAGAGTAAATATCTAAGTTATACTTCACCAAGTATCTCTTTCTCCAGAAAAAAACCTTGAAGAGACAGACCCCTTTCCCTTTTAGTTTATCAGACTACTAGCTATTTCTAGAATTCCCTACATAGGACAGAGGCCAGGTGGCTGATGATCAGTTTACATGTAAGGAAGTAATATTCTCTTATAAATTTTAACTTAAAGAAAGTTACATTAAGGCTGGGGCTGGGGCTGCGGCTCAGGGTTAGAGTGCCCATCTCACACGTGTGAGGAGCTGGGTTAGATCCTCAGAACCACATAAAAATAAAAAAAAAAGATATTGTGTTCAAAAAAAAAGAAAGAAAGAAAAAAAGTTTCATTAGTGCTTAAGCTAAAATTTGTTGACATGAAAAAGCAATTGAATTATAGACTGTATCAATCTGATTCCTTTATGATCAATGTCAAAAGTGATGGGGTGAATTATGTATTTTAAGTACCGCATTTTCCAATCATCTATCATGGACACCTAATAAGGAAAAAAACAATTTATGATTCCTGTATTAAATTTTGATTTCTACAAGTATTTGAGCAATAAAGTTTTTTTTTCCCTTCTAGAATAGCTAAAAATATGGATTCAATAGCAGTGTTTGAAACCTTCAAATATAAAGGCTTTTATATAATGGAAAACCCAGAGGATAATTAATACTGTTAGCATTATCCATTTTTCCTGATACTTTCAACCAGATCCTCCTGAATTTAAAATCAAAAATAAAAGAAAGAAAAAAAGAAAGAAAGAAAGGTAGAAAATAGACTTTTATTGAAAAGTACAGTTTGAGAAAATATCTGTGGAGATAAAGAAGACCGGAACCTATTTCTTAGAACAAAAAACTTCACATTTCCAGAGAACTGTGAAGTTCCCAAAATCCCAAGTGAGGTCTTGGTGAGATTGTCACGGAAGCTTAAACTAGATTACAAATGGGGACAAATTCCACCCATGTTTGAAGCAGAAAAGGTGCTGCTATTAATGCTTTTTGATAAAATGTATACGATTTTGATGTCAAGGCTGTATATGTTCATGTGTTGGCTGCCACAGAAAAAAATCCTGAAAGACAATATCTGCTTTTCCCCCTCTGTGCATTTGATAAGTATACTTAACACAACATGAAAATTGTTACTTTCTAGATTTGAATATTTTCATGTTAATTTCTGGTAAGAAAGCCCGGAGTATTTTCCCAAAAGGATAATTTAATATGGTATGCTTTTCCCTGCATGAATACCTGGCTCACTGTGTCTGATTACCAGGTCATACATAACCAAGAAATCTGCTAGGAAGAAGAGTTGAGGCAAAATATTAAGTCTATAATTTAATGTGATTCAACATAGAAAAACAAGATGCAGAGAAGTTCACATGCAAATTCAAGAGATCAGACATGCAAAATAAATCACGGCATCAACCAAAGACACTAAGGTCTCATCAGAAGTTGAAGGCCACAAGAAACTGGGATGTGATAGAAAAGAGCAACATACTAACAGAGAACATGAACATGCTCTGTAGCAATAAGCAGGGCTCTTGTGGACATGTGCTTAGCTGTGCTCTCACATAGCCTCTTCTTAACAAAATCACTCTAGCCCTAACCCCAGGCCTCTGATTTCCACAGCGACAGTCCTCCTTTCCTTCATGGGGTCCGAGCCCATATACCACATCACACTTCACAATATCCTGAGGTCTCTATATACAACACACATGCAAACATACACTCAAGGATCCTGCCAGATCCGTGGCATGATGTTGGGCCAGGTTTATGTTTCTCTTGCCACAGATGCATCAGTTTTCAAATCAGGGCCAGGCAGTCCCCTCACTCCTTTGAGAGTTTTCCAGTCTAATGGTGGAAAAGGAAATCCATCCTCTATCCATACAGGTTTTGCAAAATAATACCCGACTACGGAACGTCACAGTGTAAATTTTGTTTTATGTCACAGAAGAGAGAGGGCCTATTTCAAAAGGGGGGAAAAAGTGAGTTTACACAACAGATTGTGACAGATTTATTACTATTTATCATGGTAAATATGTATCGAAGAAAACATATAAGTTTTTACCTAATCATAATCACTCCAAAAGAAACATTTTACTATCCCCAGTTTTTCACTGTTGTACAAACACTTTTGAAACAAGTTTTAGAAGTATCTCTTACAGGATAAATACTCAAAATTTTATTTGAATTTTCAAGAAGAATAACCAAGCATGGCAGAGGTCTAAAAATACAGACATCTAGAGCTACAAGAGCAAGTGTTACAGTGAATAGTACAGACTGTTTCTTGGAATCAAGTTAAAATACAGATTTTGTGTGATGAAAAGGCACAGGATCTTGCTGTAAGCAATAAGCAAACAACACATACAACAAAGCTAATATAAACTAAGTTAAACTGCTATTAGAACAGAACTGCAATATTTTTAGAGTACCAAGTCAATAGGTTTCTGAATTCTAAAATTATCCAAACTATCTTATTCTTCCTGCTCAATAAATAAATAAAGAACATTTCCATGAAATTGGATTTTCTTCCTCTTCCCTGTCTTTCAAAAAAGGGCTAGTTACTAAAATATTCCATAAGGACCATTAAAACATTTAGCCAAGATAAATTCTCTATGAAGAGTTAATCCTAAATTGATGATCAAGAGCCAAAATTAAATAACACAAACTAAATTTCCAATTCCTAACTTTTATTTATTAGTAAGAAAACAAAAATAATTTTGTTACCAAGCATATCACAACACATCAGTAACCTATCAATTATCTTAATAGCAAAGAAAAAAAAAACTATAATAGGAAAAATTTTCTCTAAGGGCCAGTAAGTTATTGGGAAATACTTAAAAAAATTACAATGAATTAAGAAAAATTGTTGACAGTGATTAATATCCAATGCCACACCAATGCACTCCTTAGAAATTGTGTAGCTTTCTGCATAATTTTAGCACTGGAGAAAACAAAGTTAAATTTAACATGGGGCATAAATAGAATATGAAAGCTTGGTTTTCGTAGCTTTTGTACCATAGCGTTAACTGTCATTTCAGAACATTCAAAGGTCCATTTAATATACTGAATATTGTCTATACTAAGTTCAGGGCATGTTTAAAATGTAAACAGCTGTGAGGACTATATTATTTGAAGTTATCATAAAGCAATTAAAAGCTAAAATGTCATCAACATTAAGTCCAATCACTAACTTCAAGCTTAAAATAGGCTTATTAAAAAACCTTCAGGGATATTACTCAATTTCAATACAATATAGACATTCAAAGAAAAACAATTCTGCACATTTTTAAATGACTTATTGGTAGTCCAAAATGACTATTTTATATGCCATTGGTAGTTTTATTTACACAATATTTTTCCATATTTATGGATAATTCTGTGATGCTTCTTCAACATCATCAAGTCTGTAATAATCAGCATACAACATTTGTGTTTTTTTCTGATAAGACTTATTCTGATATATTCACTTAATAATTTTTTTGGATGAGCTGAACTGAAATCAAGTCAAATACACAGGTGTTTGTGTTAATCTAATCTTAGCACATTTGCAAAACCCATTATTTTTCTAATTTATTAAAAGTGAAATAAAACTAACATGCAAGCATTGATGGGTAATAGTCTCAGAAATCTAAATATAATTTTATTTTAAAGTATATGAAGTTATAATCAGGCCATACTTTTCCAATACTAGTACTCCACAAAATCAAGTCCAAACCTACACCCAGGAAGGAGGGACGGAAGAATGGAGGAAACAGGGAAAGAAGGGAGGATATCATCTTTTTATTTCACATAAGGAGAAAATTACTAGAAAGATATCAGTTCTCAAGAATATTAAATAAATTATCTAGGACCTAAAAAAATCTATGCTCTTATTGTGATCACAACCAACTTCTGCTGTGTTGGGCCTGGGATGCTTCAGCAGCTCCAGCCACTGCCATTTGAAAGACCCAGAAAGCTCTGGTTACAGCTGGGTGCTTCTGGTCCTCACCTGGTATAACAGACACCAACAGCTACTATGGCAGCTACCTTTGAAACATTTATTCTGCAACCTTTCTGGAAGATAGAGACATTCTCCCTGCACTCTGGGCTGAAACCCATGTAAATTTTTCCTAAATCCGCTCCACAAATCTCCTTTCGCATGCAAATCCATAAATCATCATAATACTGACAAAAGAATTTAACCAACACAAGAAACTAATACTCATTCTCTTGAAAGCCCTATCCAGGTAAAACTGCTGGAACCTCAGGCCCGCTTTCAAGGCTCTCTTCAGAGCTTAACCTGCTGAATACCAACGTGACCACCCAGTCTTCTGGGATGCTCAATTAATCACTCCAAGGTGGACCAGGTAGCTGGACCTGCAGGTCATTCCTACCTCCTCGTCCACATTCTGGATAAACCTGCTTCTCTGGGCGCATGGAATCACACTGACTTCTAGCTCATTCACAGCAGCACAAAACCGAACAAAGTGAACAGTAGAGAAACAAGCAGTACTTACTGAAGATGGCAAACCTGGAGGAACTTTTCGAACTTTTTTTGTCTGTACCTCTGAAAGAAAATGAAGATGAGGTGAGCTCTCACAGGCCCATTTTCCAAACTAAAATACATGATCCCAGGAAGCCACTGAGATTAGACCAGAATTTGTTAAATCATTCCCACAGCGCCATCGTTACCACTATCACCTTTAATTCTAGCAGAGATCAATTCTGCCTTGTTCATAAAAATAAAGATGCTGTATTTAACTTGTTACTGCTTCTTCTTCTTCTTTTTTTTTTTTTTAAGGTTCCTTCTGTGTGTCGCCAAGAGAAATCCAGAAATAAGCAGACACCAAAAAAAGTTCTCTTGCTGCTATACATTGTTAACGTTATCTATTTGCCCAGTGGGCTACTGGGGAGGGGGCCACCAGCCTGACAAGCCAAATTTTAGGGGGTTTTGGGAGAAGGTAGAGTAGCAATAGGGTGAGAGGGTGGAATTTTAAAAAGAAAAATGACACTCAGGCATTCAAACAGAAGAAGACCTTACCCATGGCACTACTGTGAAGAGGCCTCCGTCGGGGGTTATTGCTAGAATACTGATAGTACTGGGAGCCAGGTTTGGTGGGCGAAAGGGTTCCTGGATTGCCCATATCCATGTCCCCTCCAAGGAGACTCTGCTAAAAGGTTAAGAAGAAGAAACAAACACATAAGTTTACTTCTTGACATTCACCACCCCTCAACTGATTGCTAGTACTATTTAGACCCAAGCAATAGAGAAAACAGCATCTGCTGAGCTGAGACAATTACCAAAACACAAACCAAAAAGGAAAAGCAGTCTAGGAAGCGATCCCCAAGTTTACCCATTTGCATTCTTCACTTTTGAGAGGGAGGTATGATTCCCTTTAAACCACGTATTCTTTAAATCTTTTCAGATGACTCATGTTTTAATTTCATATGAAAATGGCATTTCTGAAAGAGGGGTGTTTTCTTTCTCTAGACTGAGGCTCATATCTGGGAACTATTCATGCCCTTCCTTCACAAGACCAACAAGAATCTCATTTTTCGAACTTGCCCCGGCTGCGCACACTGGGGCAAGTGTGCCCGATCCACACCAGTAAGAACCCTGTCCCTCTGCCCCCGCACGCCATGATCCTCCGTGAATCCATACGGCACCCACAGACTTGAAAACACCAGCTGAACCAACTTGCATCATTTTAGAAAAAGTAGGCATTCTAAGCTCACAGGAACAAATCAAAGAACTTTAGAATGCTCTCTTGAGGACTATCGGAAGCTAAACACATCCCCACAGATTAAACATTTACCTGAATACTAGAAAACTTTCACAAATATCATTAACTTATCACAGTGTGACAAATTACTACACTTTCAAAAATGATGACATCAGAAAGATTATATAATATCACATTTTCTAAATGCTACATAGAAACTTACCCATAATATATAAATCGCCTGATTATACTCTGCATTGAACACATTGTTCTTTTAATTATTCTGATATGCAATAAAACAAGTGTAGATAGTACCATTTATATTAAGAACAAATTTACTGTTTAATAAAGAAATTTTAAAATTAAGTACTAAAAATCTAACTTTATCGTTACTTGTAATCAACTTTTACTGACTGAACTAATTACTGTCCTTGATAAAGTACAGAATGTGTTTTCCCTAATCTAAATTCTAATCACCATGTCACTCACAACAGACTTAGGGATGCTTCACTAACACACTATTCACATGCAAAATACTCTAAATAGGCCAATTATGACTCTGCCCCTGTTCCCTGGTTAACCCGCTGAGAACTGAAAAATTTCACAAGGCAGTCACCAACTAAAACAAAGGGTCCTTGTTTTAAATTAAGACAGTCTTTTTGATTCCTAAATAGCTCAACAAAGTGGCATGTCCTCTAGTGAAAGCAGTTGGTCAAATATGACCCATAAGCTGGAAAATCAAAAATTCAAACCTCCCCTTTCCACCGCCATATCGCTAAATATCATAGAGTCCTCTCTACTGCGAGGGGTTTTTGTGAGTGTTGGATGAGTAATATATAAAGGACTAATCAGCTGCTGACAGGCCTGCCGTCACTGCTCCCAGTGCACGACTTTTTCAAGGGGTACATAAAAAACATTATTTTAAAATAAAAACCTGAAGATGAGATATGAAAGTTGAAAGCACATACTGAGTAATCGTTGCTAGCATCTTAAGATTTACCACATAAATAGCTGGTAAAAACCGATTCTTTGCCAGATGAAAACCTGACCTCTGCATGCTCAACCACTGCCTCTCAGGAACTTCAGACAGACACTGAAATGCTGCCCCCCAGGGCAGACTGAAATGTAGAACTCACTATCACAAAGTTTTCTATCAGCTGAGAATCTAACAGTACAACATCATTTTTTTTTTTTTAAATATAAGTTTAGGAGCTTTATTCAAAAATTTAAAAATTTCAACCTGAAATTTCACACTGGGCAATTTTTATTAACAAAGTATGTATATTTAAGTCTTCCAAAGTTTTCTTTGACATTTCCAATGAGAAAGCTTCAGATGATCTGAAGTCACAAGCTCCAGACAGTTTGGTAAATCTGAGTCTTTATTTCATTGGAAAAAGGAAGTTTGAAAATGATATTATTATTATTATTATTATTATTATTATCATCATCATCATCAACAACAACAACTCATTTTGCAGCACTGGGGATCAAATCCAGGCTTCCTGCATGCTAGGCAAGTCTCTACGCTGAATTACATCCCTAGCCCCATGGAAATCATATTATTGATAACTTTGTATTTACCAAGAGTATAAGCATTGTATTGACAGACATTACCCTATTTCTCTACTTTTATTTTCCCTAAATAACATACAAAATATGCAGAAAAGGGCTCAGCAAATAACCTGAGATGCTTGTTTCTCTTTTTAATGAGCCTAACCACTGGTTAATTCCTGTTGGTCTTGGTGGCAAAGGTTTCACTCTCAGGAAAGTAAATGCATTTAACGGGTCAATCTAAAAGCAAACACGCTTGTTACCCTGGGTTTTAACAGCATTCACAATAGAGTTGTTCAAAATATAAAATGATAGCCGAAAAACAGCTAACTGGTTGTGGCTGACCTCATTGTTGTTCATTTAAAAGAAAATCATTTCATGGGCCAGTCATAAATAAATCAACTCTTGCATATGCAGCCACATGAACTGTGCACAATACAAAGACCAGATAGCCCTTCATCACACTTAGTGGCTCCTGCTAACCACCCACCCCCGAAAAAAAAGCACATTCCTGTTTCTTTCTCTTTAAACCTGTTTGTTCCTATTTCTTTTTCACTTGGACAATAGAATCATTCTTCTAAAGCAACAAAAATAAACATTTCCTCACACTTAAGGGGATCCTAATCACCCCCTTAGGGAAAATGAAGATAAAAATATATGTGTTCTTATTGTAAAGTATACTTGTAAAATGAACAATGACCATTTACTATTGTTTGGTCTTTATGTCATACACTTAACTCTTTGTAGCCTTGAGGGGGGGAAAAAGTTCCACTGGCTGAAAAGCCTGACTTTGTGAATTTAAAAAAGTTAATGGCATTTAATCTAAAAATGGAGAAGGCATTCATTTATGAATTCATTATGAATTCATTTATGAATTTACCTACATGTATCTACAGCTCTGAAGACAAGTTTATGTTTAATGAAAGTCAAGTTCGGAAGCTAAGTCTACTTTCAAAATGGGCCAATTCGTCCTTGCATTAAATAGGATTATAAAGGCTTTAGGCTCTTCACGTTGTGCAACCTGGCTCTGCGGTTACCCTGGGTCCCAGGAGCAAGCAGACTAAGTCTGCCAGGAAACACTGGAAACAAGATGTGGCCTCTCAGAGAACTAACCTGTAAATCTTACACCCATGGGTTAGCATTTTGCTTAACTGTCTGCAATTTGATGAGACAAGCCCTTCCCCCTGTTCACTCCTTTCATCCACAGGCAAACAATCTCAAGACTTGAAATACCCTACCCAAAGAGTAAAATACACTCACTTTTTCAACCGGCTTTCAATGTTTGAGATTCACCCCCTGCAACCCATTCTCCAGCAAAGAGCCAATTTTAGCATAGCCATTCAAAGGCCAAAGGCAGCATTCTTTGAGGATCTGTTTCAATTAAAATTTTTGTTTGTTTTACATCAGATCTGGGCCTCAGACTGTCCTTCTCACACTGTCTCAATCCTGCCCCTATTGCTTTTAGGGGGAGCATCTTAACATCCTTGATCAAACACTAAACTTTGCTTATGCAACCAGGAATGCAAACCATGAATTAAACTTAAGAAACAGAAAAGCAACATATATCTCAAATTAGATTTATAACTGAATGGTAATCAAAAATAGAACTAACTGCTTGAAGCTTAAATTATCAACTTTTTTTTTCTTGTTAAACTAAAATCATCTCGCTCTGAACTATTATTTCATTTCAGTCAGCTCTTTAAATGTAATGGGTGGGTGGTTCATTTCTAAAAAGGAAGATTATATTTACCCTTAATTATAGATATGAGTGAGATCAGAGTACGATGAACGCTGCTTTGGGGGTTTAAAATTAATTCATCTAATAGGTGAATGACCTTGAATGTTAGAGTTGGGGTCTGGGATGGGGGGAAAAAAGAAAAAAAAAGTGGAAGGGTTAAAAAAAAATCTCTGGGGAAAAAATGTGCCCCTGGTTTTTGGGGCTTTCTCTGATTTTGCGTCACTGCCATCACGGTGTGATCAGATATCAGACACAACATCTTGGGGGGATGTTGTAGAACAGAGAAAAGCAGTCTCAGATGAAACCAGATTAAGCTCCTTTTCTGAACTATTGCCAAATGCTTGTGAGTCTAATTCATGTTTGGGTATTCTAGTACTCACACAGCTGCAATTCCATTGTTTCATCACAAACCTAAGTGATGTATAGTGGCTTTGTATGGTGAACTGACTCTAGAAAGCCAGGGATTTTTAATGTTAATATGGAAATAAATTCTGAACTAGAAAACTTATGAACACTGGATATTTGTGTAGGTACCCCATAGAGTTTGCAGTGGTACATGCAAAATACACAGGGAGAGAAATCACAACTTGGATTTGTTCAAAACACTTTTTTTTTTTTAAATCACAACTGAGGTCATTGCTACATAGCTAATTCTGCACAGAATTGGGTTTTCAAAGACACTGCTGAATAAGATTCCTAGCAGCTATGGGGAAGTTTTTTGCAAATCCCTGTCGAATAGCTGCTGCTGAATTTGCCATTCTGACCACAGAAGGGCCATTGCTGACTTACTATAGTAGCAGGAGGGGGCGATAATTTTGCTGCTGTTGGCACTTACTCTGCAACCTAGAATATATCTTGCACCAAAGGGTAATGAAGAACACAATATTTCCACCTGTCCACTTTTGAACTTCAAAGCTCAAAACTGAAGGTCAGTCTTTGGACAGTCTTTATTCCTGATCCCCAAAGACTCTGGAAGGCACCTTTCTAGTTTATTTAGATTTCTGCCCTATGCTTGGTTTCAACAAAAGACGACTGGGGAAACTTGGAAAGACAAGATGGTAGAGATAACTTTCATTATCAGGGACTTAACAGATTGTCAATCTGTTGCAGGGAAACGCAAATTATTGACGTTATCATTTAGCAAATAGTTTCTTTGAAG